TGTAGTCAATAACTCCATATCAGCAACTCCGGGTCTCTGTTCTCAGTTGTAGAGTTGGGGCCGTGATGCCCTCAAAGAAGCCTTTTGCTTCTCCAGCTCACCCTCAATTCTTAAAGATTCCATCTCATCCATTTCACATACGCTCTCCTTCAGATCCTCACAAAATTTGGTGCGATCATGCTCATTCCGCGCATTGAAAATAATCAAGACTTTGTTATCAACTCTTTGACGCACTTCCATGAGATATGGATAATCTGGAAAGAAAAAACAAATTTTAGGTTTACCAATTCTTTTGATCATTACCCTACATTAACATTTATAATTAGATAAGTACTAAGCTAATATTACCACTTTACAAGGAAAAACATTACTTACGTGGCACCTCCTTTGTGGATATCACAAGACCAGCTAGAGGATAGCTTTGCCTAAAGGTGTACGTGACAGAATTTTTCTTCTTGGAGAAAATCTTTGTTACAACCAACAGATCATTGAAGAGGAAGACTTCACGCTGGTGGACTCCAACTCTCTCTTTCTTGGTGATGTCAGGAATTTCATAAAGTCGGCAGTAGCAAACTAGGCGACGGTGAGGTAGTGCCAAGTTTGGTTTCTTACCTACCATCGTCTGTTGTACCTGTAGAAGGGAGATTCCATCAATATACAATAGGTTATGTACCCTTTCCTTAAACACTGAATTTTTTGTATTTAAAATAAATTACAGGTCCATGTGTAAAGGGCTTTTTACCTTTAGAACCTGGGTAACATGATCATGGCCAGGTCTGAACTCCTGCGCCTTGATGCGCTGATACATTCCTTCCAGCATTTCACGCTCAATGTCATACCCATCATCAATACCTGTTAAGCACAAAATACAATTAGATGTCCAAATTATCAAAATACCCATGTATCCAAAATTCAACACAAAAATGGAAATAAAAAAGAACATTTCTTTAAAACTGCTCTTTCCAGTTGGAATGTTCATTTCATATTACAGGTGTTCAGAAAAAAAAAATTACCTCTTAAATTCTTAATAAAGTCCTCAATCTTCATTCTCTTTTCTTGTTTCATGGATGCAGTATGAAGATCTGTGTTAAGCATAATAATGGCAAAGGCTAAGACAAAAATGGTTTCAGGATCTCTTAGCTTTGCCACAATGTCTCTGTTACACTGACAATACCGCTGAGCAAACACCTGCATAAGGCGTTCAATCTTTTGTGCTTCTCCTGGCATTCGGAAGTGTGTCTGGAACTTACGCAGAGCCACATCCACCTGCATACCAGACAGGTCGATCTCTTGTGCAAAACACCTGTATCATGGGAACAATATTGATTAATATCTATTTCTATAAAGTCATTTTCATACATTTCAAATACTAAAATATTAGGGGGGAAAATCTTAAAATGAGACCAACTGAAATGTTTACTCACTCAAGTACAGCCATGTTAAAGCTGTTCTGAAGATTGCCAAGATATTCTCCAATCATCTGCTTGCTTAAACCTTTTCTTGTTAATAAGAACTTGGCTACAGCTTGAGGGGAATTTTCTAAGAAGCCTCGTCCTATCAGGTAGGTCACACCTCTCTCTGGTTTCTTGTTGAAGAGATTCAGGCCAACACGATATTGTCTCTTTCGAACAACTTCTGGCACCTGTTTGTTTTTAGAGGATTGTTAATTTTACAGGCAATATGTGATATTTACAACTTAATTCCTTTTATTTCTTACTGTGGACAGAAAACAAAATTACTGTGATATAAATATTGACACATGGCAAACATCTGCTGGGAAAAGATTGAAAGGTAAAAAAAGAAAGAAAAGAAACAAAAACCAAACTTAAAACTGTGTACTTGTGGCCTTATGGAATATGAACTAAATAAAAGAGTTGTCTACTCTACCTTGGGCATGTGAGGAGTATGGGTATAATGAGCATGAGCGTAGCGTGCAGAGTGTGGGATCTGTGAGGGGATGGTTTGAGAGTAAGTCATTCCTTCCGAGGAATGGGACTGCAGGGAATCTTCTGAGTTTTCGCTGATGTTGCTCAACCGCTTATCGTCATAGATGACCTCACTTGTGCTCATCTGCTGGTGGAATTGTGAAACTCATTTTCTTTTTGGTTCTGCTGCACATTTATGGTCCATCTTACAGCTACTGGAGCCTCAGATGAAAACTCAGATGTTAAACAGATCACTCACTAAGAACACTATTGAGAGCTGAGTCAATTTTCTCGGTAGCAAAAAAGAACTTGAAACAAAAATGTGAGATGATTCATTCATTACTCTTTAAATCAAAGCTGAAAGCAAAACTGAATCAAAGAATAAATCATATCATTGTAAAAATAGCCTAGCTGAATGTCTTCTGTTGACGTTGCAAATTTCACAGACAGCCCTTTGAAAGTACAGTACATTATGGCCTCATTCTGAGAAAACAAAACTGAGAATCATGCAATAGATGAGTTGCAACCATTCAAAAATCAACTTTCAGAATGCAGAAAAGTTGGCAATTAAATTTTCTACCTGATTCTTGCGCTTCCATATTGGGGAAGTGGGATGGTAGTCTGAATTATCAACTTGGTCATGGGTTGATAGGGGAGTAGCGCGATCAGACGTAGACTGAGAGAGTGAAGAGTCTGAGCCCGAGGACTGAACACTGGACAGAGAGCCATTGTCTGCAGACCTGTGTAAGTAGAGGGAGTAGTTAGTTCTGCAAAACTACAATTAAACTTACATACAATAAAAATTACTCGCCTTATTACTTCAGCACACATAACATTATGGTTTTAAACTACAACTGTTTACCTTCTAAGTGCGCCTCTGTCACTGTGTCCTCCTTCTGATGTGAGGGATGAGGGAGTAGATGAAGGTGGTGTCAAAGATGGTGGATGACACTGTACTCTATGGTTGGCTGTTGATAGCGCCGCAGCACTGCAAAGGAATAAACTATTATATTTTTCTGGCACGAAATTCCTGATTTCATATTAAAAGATACTGAAAAGACATCATCGACGCCTCTAATCCAATTACAAAATGAACTATGGTAAAAGAAATAATGGCAACAAGTAGATTCAACATGATGGCAAAATGTCAGTCCCAATAAAATGTCAATAATACTTCATCGTGACACCGACCTGTCCACACTACCACTGCTCTCACTGGACTTGATGGAAGACGAGCGTCGGGGGACCTCTGGCGGGATCTTCTTGCCACGCCCAACTCCTCGCCTCTGATTGACCACCGTCAAACGGGCCATGTTTGCACTGTCCTGACTTCCCTGATAGAGGAGGAAGAAATGTAAGTTTGCACATGATATATATATGATCCCATGTAATGCAGCATTTGAATGGTATCTTTGAAACGATATTCATGGGGAGTTTCAGCATAAGAGAACATCCTACATCAAAAATCAGTACTTACGAAGCCGCCCTCGTCCGACGAGATGTACTTGATATCCCTGGAAGAGGCGTATGAGGCGACGTCGCCCTGGTGTTGGTAGTCGCCGGAGCCGTTCCTCGCGTGCGTGGGCGCCGGGGTGGGCGTGGAGGTCGGCGTGAGAGGAGAGTGAGCTGACACATGGCAGTAGAGAGAACTGTCGTTCATGGCCGCCAGCGTGTCGTGAAGGTCGTGATTATCCTGCTGTATTCGCGAGGACGTCGTGGAGGTGGCCGGGGTGGTCGTCCTAGGCGTGTCGCGCAGGGACAGCGACCGGGCCGGCCGTCTCCCCTCGCCGTACACTATCGGGTGGATACATTTAGTACTCGTCGCACGACTATACATTCTCAATATTCAAAGAAACACTTAAGACCCATGAACAAATTGCTATGAAACCATAAAAAACACCATCCTTGCTTTACAAAAGGGCACAAGAGACCCACCTGTGGCACTCAGATTTCTCTGAAGCTGATCAAACTCTGAGCGGATAAAGTGTTCCGCATCGTGATAGTGCTGATTGGAGGTGTCGTTCCACTCGGGCACGTCCACGGTGAACCTCCGCGAGAGGCGCTTCTCCTGTGCTTTGGCTGTGGCAGTGATGGAGCGGAACTTTTTGTACATGGCATAGTGTCGGTAGGCTCTCTGGATGGTCACCGCCGCCCGGCGCGCTACCTCGCCACCATACCTGCGCGGGCAAAAGGAAGGTTAATAAAGCACTACAGACACTTTCTTGCCTCAACCAAGACTAAGTGACTGGAGTAAGTCAGCAGTAAATATCATAATGGCAAACGATACGTACCTGCGTTCCAGCATCTCCAGACGCATATCTGCAAGATCTTGTGAGAGTTCATATCCATGGCCGGTGCCGGGCGCTCCGCTGCCTCGCCACCGCCCGCCGCGGTTGCTGCTGTCATCTGCCGCTGCCCCTCGGGGCGCCTGCCTTCGCCCGCCCATGCCCACGCCGCTCGACTGTGATACTGCCTGTGGCATCTGCGGGTGAGTGCTCCTCTAAGTATACAAGAAGATTTTCAAATAACGTCAGATTCGAACACGAAATAAGCTTGAAATCCACGCCTGATATTAACACCAAAAAGCGGTCGCCATGAATGATGACAAAGGTTCATTTGTTGGCCTACCTGAGGTCGGCGGACGAGGCTGCCATTATGGTGGTGGTGAGGAGGCCCATGGTGGAGATGGTGGGGCGGGACGGGGGGGCGCTGCGCCCTCGACACTGTAGGACTTGGTGATGCCCGGACCCACGCCCCGGTTTGGTGGCGGTCCTTGCCGCAGTATGGACGATCTACCTTCACCGGGAACTGCAAATAAAAAAGAAACACGAATTAACGAACGAAAAACAATAGAGGCAACATAGAAATAAGATGAAGTTATAAAAGTGACAAACGAAACACAGGAAGTTTTTGTAGGATATATGGTATGTTGCGGGTGTCCCGGCGTGACCTGAGGGAGGGTCAGCTGTCAAACGTGACACGCTACACGCAGCTGACGATGAGTGATGAGCGCGCAGGTCATCCCGAGGTCAAGGCGGTGGACAATGTCTCCGGTAGCCCGCACATGCCACTTCCCGCCCCTCATCTCGCTGGACCTTCCCCACAGGTCAAGTAACGAACGAAATTTATTAGGGAGAAGGTAAGAGAGAAAGAAAAGAGTGGAAGAGGTGGCGGAAGCGGAAGAGGTGGAGGAAGTGGAGGAGGTGGAAGAGGTGAGTAATGAGGCGAGGCGCGCGTGCCTTTTGTGAGGGCGGCGGTTTGACACCTCCTTGCGGTGCTCCAGGAGATAACGGGCGGCGCTGGCACTGAGGGCCACGTGTGCCGCCCCCTCCCCACTGCCACGCCACTTACCCTCGCCAACGCTTCCGCTGACCCGTGGCACAGCCTCCCCGCCTCTCCATCACGTCCGGCCGAGTTTAAATACAATGCTGATTAAACATGTCAGAATCAGACTCGTAATCCCTGCTGATCACTCGCGACAAACGCCATCTGTCACTGGGATTTCAATTAGGTCAATAAGCTCTCGGGGAAACCGGCAATTAACTGCGTCACAGAACGGCTCTAATGCTTACAACGATGATAATTAACTTCACTTTCCAATAAAAAAGTTTTTTCCCCAACATCAATAGCTTTTGGCCTCGCTTGATCCTTAAATACTTTCCTGATAATTCAGTGCCGGGCATCAATTATTCGCCACAAAATGCATGCTAAACGTTCTACTAATTCTCCGAAATAATAAATTCGATTAATCTGCACATCAAACAGATTACGCATGCGTTGCCATGACAACGGTCGCATTACCTGGAGGCGCGAACAAAGGTCAGCTGGCGGTAAGGCCTTCTCTGCCTCTTAATAAAGCTGAGCACGCGACCGCCCGCCCTTATCGCGTGTTGCCTCGCACGCGCGCTCTCATCCCTTATCAGTGCCAATCAATTTCGTTTTAATGTCTCATGCCGTTCAGAGGATAAACAATGGTTCTATATGGAAGGTAATCGCAAAAATCACAGAACTATATCCCACTATGTCCCTTTACCAAAAAATAAAACCACTGTTATCATAACGAACGTCCTCACCTGATCGGAGGGGGAATCACGAAACCGGACAAGCAGATAAGCATTTTCCTGTTTTTCTTCTGTCACCGCCCACTTGCACAGAAAACACTAGCACATCTCCCGGGCCAGCAGGAGGATCGCCGCCCAGCACTCAATCGAACAACAACTACTGGACAACATCTTGGGTTCGCTGCTTACTTCTGGTCCGTCGCAGCTGCCCCTGGCTCGGTTGCCAGGCACCAAGTTACCGATGACATTTTAAGCGGCTCCCTCTCGCGCGGCGACATCAGATCGCGGCCGCAGTGGGTGGAAATTGTTCTTTGTATTTTAACGCTGAATCGTTACATCGTTACTGATAGAAATGAAGGGCGAATGGAGACAAACAAAATGCGCGAATGGGCAACTGTGGATCGTAAGCGTGACACCTGCCCAGCACGCGCTATGCACAGGATACGGCCGGCCAGGGTGTCCTCCGCTGTCTTGACCAATCGCAGCCTCTCTCGCGCCCAAGACCCATCAACAGCCACTCCACTTCCACCAATCAGCGGCCGGGACGAGGCCAGGTGGTGAGCGCGCTATCAGGTCACGCGTTCAAAAGATAATAATCCTTTCCCCATTAGAATTCCTCGCAGGATTAGCATTATCAAGGACTACCGAGTCTACCTTCGGGCCGTCCGTCCTAAAAATAACAAAACAGCATCACCAAAACACCATCGATAATCAACGCAGCCACCCGGACGCAAATCCAACCCGCCATGAACGGTCATTAAGATTACGTATCACGCCATAAATCACTCTTCGGACAGTAACCGACGCACAGCAGATATACCAACAAACGCATTGCCAAAGCGAACATATAATTAACAATCAAAATTCCCCAACCGTCCATAACCCTATAAAGCCAACCCTCCAAACCAATAACATTAATGGAAAACGAATAACCTCGGCGGAAGAAGCACAAAAAAATAATCTCAAGACAACCAAAGAGTTCCCATAGCGGGGTCGGGCAGCACGTGTCTTGTGTCTGTCAGGGTGTCGCTGTTAACCAGACCCGAGCCTTTGTCGTGGCCCGGACGGACAGACAGACAGACAGACAGACTATCCTCCCTCCCCTCTACCCACCCCGGGACCCGATACACTCCACCTCACCGCCATTATTACACGCCGGGGATACACCCTCAGCCCGTCACGCTTCCATGCCTGACACGGGACACCCGGACCTCACCTACGTCATGTTATCAGAGAAATGGGGAACAGGAGGAAGCGAGGAGTAAGAGCGTTGATAAAGGAATGGGAAGGGGATGGGAGGGGGAGAGGAAGGGGAAAAGGAAGGGGAAAGAGAAGGGGAAAAAGGGGGCGGGGGAGGGGGAAAAGGAGGAGAGAGAGAGAGGGGGAGGGGGAAAAGGAGAGAGAGAGAGAGGGGGAGGGGGAAAAGGAGGAGAGAGAGAGGGGAAGGGGGAAAAAGGAGAGAGAGAGAGGGGGGGAGGGGGAAAGGAGGAGAGAGAGAGAGGAGGGAGGGGAAAAGGAGAGAGAGAGAGAGGGGGAGGGGGAAAAGGAGGAGGAGAGAGAGAGAGAAGAGAGAGAGAGAGAGAGAGAGAGGAGAGAGAGAGAGAGAGAGAGAGAGAGAGAGAGAGAGAGAGAGAGAGAGAGAGAGAGAGAGAGAGAATGGAGGGGAAGGGGAAAGGAAGAGGAAGAGGAAGAGGAGAGGAAGGGGAGGGGAAAAGGAGGAGAGAGAGAGAGGGAAGAGGAAGAGAGGAAGAAGGAGGGAAGAAAGGGGAAGGGGAAAAGGAGAGGAGAGGAGAGAGAGAGGGGAGAGAGAGAGAGAGGGGGAGGAGAGAGAGGAGAGAGGGGGAGAGGAGAGAGAGGAGGTGAGAGGAGGGAGAGAGAGAGAGAGGAGAGAGAGGAAGAGA